CCTCCTTTTCTCCCCCCAGTACTTCCGGCCATGCCGTTAGTTTCACTATGGACCCTCTCGAAGTTGGGGGCCGGGTAACTCGCCCTCATCCTTCAGCTTTGACTCTGACCTCACCTCTTCTGGGAAGCCCTCTGCACCCCAGACTCAGGGACAGGCACCCTTCTGCCGGGTTCCCGTCGGGTTCTGACCCACATGCAGGCGCGGGTCTCATGGTGGGAGAACTGCTTGTGTACTTGTCTACAGACCGTGGCCTGAGGGCAGGGACCATGTCTTGCCCCTCGGGTCTGCAGGGCCTACAGTAGAACCTGGCACGTACTAGAAATCTGTGAGATGAGTACAATTTCAATGAATGAATGGGTCTGTCACTAAGCTTTCCACTTACTCTCTTCGCGTGAACTCCAGCCTCATTCCCTAACCGGAGCCATAGCTCCCTCACGCCTCCAAGCCTCCCTGGAAACTCAGCCTGGGCTTCACGCCCAGAGGCCCTGGCAGCCACTCTCTCATTGTCTCCCCACCTCCGAGAGGGACCTGAAGACGCCAGACTAACATGACTTTCAGCAACGTCTTCCCACCCCCCCCCCCCACAAATGGCTGTCAAAGTGGGGCTCCCCAGCCTTGCTCCGAGGGCTGTGGTGGGAGAGGCCCTGGGGTCAGCTGGAGCGGGCCCTCCGCACCGGAAGTCCCATGCCGCTTACGCCTGGGCTCCTCAGGGAGCCACAGCCTGTGCCCTGCTGTGCCCAGCAGGGAGCTCAGCAGGGCATCGTGCCCTGAGAGAAGGAGTAGGGTCTGGCTTTGAGGACCCCACCTTGTTGTCAGTGGGCGAGTAGGAGAGGGCATCCTTGTAAGACCGCACCGCCTTGGCGTACTCCTTCTCCGCCACGTAGTGCTCCCCAAAGTGGAAGCAGATGGAGGCTGCCAGCTCCTTCTGGGAGGGGATCATCTCGGGTTGCTCCAGCGGAACACGCTTCAGTATCCGAGACTGGAGGTCCAGGGCCTGGGGGAACCAGTCAGCGCAGGGTCAGGGACCTGGAGCCTGATGTGCCAGGCCTCAGGCCACTTCACAGCCAGCCCCAGCTCTGGTTCCAGAGCCCGCAGCGTTAGAAAGGGCATCTCAAGCGCCTTTAGCCAATCTGGGTCCCTCTGGACACGCCAGGCCGCTGGCCGAGTGCCCTGGTGGCAAGCTGGCACCACCTCTGGGACAGGCCCAGAGCAAAAGCACTCAAACAAAACACGCCATTGTATTCTACTTGTTTGCCTGTTTCCATCACACCTTGGCACTTACTGTGTCTAAATGGCTTAGGCCGAAGGGCTAGAACAAGCACACAGTAGGTATTCAATGCAAGCTGTGCTGTGATGGGTGCATTTGTTCTGAATATTGCCCTGCTGGGAATTTGAGGCAGCCCTCACACATGTCCACGACATGCAATGGCCAAGTGAGTGAGTAGAGAGCATCAGGGCGAGAGGAAAAGGACGATGCCAGGGTTAAGTTTCAGGAAGAGGGCAGAGGTCAGCACTGAGCTCCCCGCGGGCCAAAGAGAGGAATGGGGACCCCAAGGCAAACAATGGAATAAATCCAGCAGTCGGAAAGCGGGCTGTCCCTCTCCAACCACAGAATGCACCCCAGGAGCAAGGGACAGGCCACAGCCTTGGGTAGGAAGAGCGAGGTAGGCAAAACAGGAATGGCCAGGCGCTGTCCCGTCAGGGGCACCCCGGGGGGCAAGGGTGTGGGTCGGGACCGGCCATATTCTGGTTCAAACCTCACTCAGCTCCACCACTTTTGAGCAGTGTGACTTTGGGCACATTTCTTAATCTCTTTGAGCCGTTTCTGTCAAATAGTAAATGTCACAGTGCCTTTCTCAAAGGGCTACTGTGAGACTTAAATAAGAAAGCAAAAAGCCTGGTACAGAATCCAGCATAGAGCTATGGGCATTGCCCATTATCACCACCACCAGCATCCTTGAGGACAAAGGCATTATCTTGCTCCCAGCCTTGCCCAGCCCAGCCCAGCCCAGCCGGGCTTACAGCACTTTGGTGCACCATCAAATTAGTGAGCAAGGGTTGGGGAGTAAATGGAAGGTGGAGCTCAGAGGTGTAACGAAGCCTTCTTTTGAGGACCAAGCCTAGAGGCTTCCAAACCTGTAGTCCTATCCTTCCTTCTTCAGCTCCATCAGAAAACGGCAGACACAGACCTTGAGTCTGCTGGTCAATTACCTTGTTCAAGGTTTCCAGCACATCTTCTTTCTTATGGCTCTTGTAAACCTTTGCCAGCAAAAGCAAGCACTTGACATCATTCATCATGGATGGGATGTCTGTGGCTGCAAAATGGAAACTCAAATTACTGTTCTCTGCCTCTTGGGGATGAGGGAGGGGGGAGGGAAGGGGTTGGGTTCAGGACCTCAGCTAGTGTCTGGTCCCCGCACCATTCTGCAAGAGAAGAGAGAACGGGGTGGGGAGCGATATGCCTGCTCCCAATGCAGGGGAGCGAGCTAGAATGCTGCCTCACCTACGTCATGTTCTAGTGCTGCTTCAAAACCTTTTCTGCTTTGTTGAACTTCTTTAACTTCAGGAGCAGCTCAGCCAGATCACAGCACAGAAAGTCCTGGCCGCTAATCTTCTGGGCTGCCTCATAAAAATTGATGGCCTTTGTGCAAACAGGAAATGCTGGCATCAGGTCGGGCTCTACACTTGAGCGCCTCGCCTTGTGTTCCCCTCAGCAGCCGCCACACCTGTGGGCCCCTCCAGAACACAGAAGCCTAAGAGGAAAAGGCCTTCCCAGCTGGCAGGGCTCAAGCTTCAACCTGGGCAGGTGTGGGGAGTGGTGGAAGGTGGCTGAGTTCTCCCCTTGGCACCCCATTCCGCAGGGAGCTCGGGGGAGGTGGGGGGAATCAGCCACTCCCATCCTGACCCCCTCTCCCACCCAGACACCCTCCTCCCTCTTCCCTGCTGGGCTGGCCCTCCCCACCTCTTCCTGCCCAGCCCAGCCTGACCTTGGTGTACTCGTGGGCCTTCACATAAGCGCGCCCGATTCTGCTGACCAGGGAGGCGTCGTGTGGGTTCTTTCTATAGGCCTCGTCGTAAGCCTCCAGGGCCTTCTCGGGCTGGGGAGGGGCAGGGGGAGAGCTGTCAGGGGTCTCTGCCTTCTCTCCCACTGGGCAGGTGAGATTGGGGGGGGGGCGACTGGCCAGGCCATGAGGCCCTTGCTCACCTCCAGAATGTTCATGAAGGCATCGCCCAGCAGCAGGCTGGTGTCGGGGCCAGGCAGATGTTCACAGAGCTCCCTGCACAAGTAACCAGAAGCTTATCTCAGACCTGTGCATCCTTCACATTCCTGAGCCCGCCTCCTTCTCTTCTTTCCACGAGTCCTGGCTGACATGCATCCATTCATCCAATACTCACCGAAAGCCCAATGTGCATGAGGCTCTCTCCTCTGTCACCTGGGCCGTGGCCAGAGCCTCCGCCCAGCCCTCCAGACCCCTCTCCATGAGGCAGCCACACTGCTCTTTCTAGGACTCCAATCTGACCACGTCACCCCACTGTTTAAGGTTTCCCACTGCCACTGGGATAGTCTCCCCTCCCCGCTACCCCCTCCCAGCATGCCCCTCCCACCTGAATTGGAGTTTTGCCTGGGGTAAGGGACTGGAAGGTAATGTCAAATCACAGAGACAGCGGCTTGGGGCTTCAGATCCGCTCTCCGTCCTCCTTCACCTCACATTGGTCACATCCAAGTCATTGGACATTTCCTCAAGGATGGGCAGATCGGGGGCCAGGGCAGAAGTGCGTTCCCATGGTTCCCCCCGAGAATGTGGGCCATACAAGGGGGAGGGGGTGCAAGCAGGGCTCCGTGTCCTCAGAACTCAGCAAGGAGCCAGCCTGGCTGACCTACCACGCTCAGTTCTAGCCCCGGGGAAATCTCATGCTCTCAGCTGAGGCCACTGCGAGGAGGAGGCTGCGGGCGCGCTCACCGGTAGCACCCGATGTAGAGGCGGACGTCTTTGCGGGTGTGCAGGTAGATGCTGGCCATCTTCTCCTTGGCTTCCGTGTAGTAGGGCTGCTTGGGCGTGATGTTCCTCAGCATGCTCAGCGCCATGTCCACGTTCCCCTTGCTCAGGGCCAAGTCCACGTTGGCGATGGTGATGCGGGTCTCCTCCGGCGTGCCGCTGAACTCGTCGATGGCATCTTGCATGACCTTGGTGGCCTCGTGCTAAGAAAGACATGGGAACCCAACACGCCCTCCGCTTGCCTCCACCCACCGCAGGTGGCCTGATCACACTTAACATCTCTTCTAGGAAACGTAAAGCAATCCCCTTTCCCAGCCTGGCCCGGGCCCGGGAGAGAAAGGAAACAGGGAGACGGCGGCCGGGAGCAGTCCTGCTACATGGGAGCCAAACATAGGATGACCGAGAGGCTGCAGGGGCAGAAAGGAGAGAGATCGCTTTGCTGTCCAGGGCCACTGTTCTTGGAGGGCAGGGGGAAGGTGCCCAGCTAGCTGGGGGGTACAGAAACCCCCAACTGTAAGGACCTCCCTACTCCTTACCACCTCAAAGTCTTCCCATGGGAGACCTATGGACGCATGTCCTTGAACTTCCCTGCTTAAATGTTGTGGGACTGGGTGCAAAGAGGTCTCTTGATATTTTCATTATATTTGTACCCTTGATTATTTTAATGCAGATACTTTCTTTGCCCATTTTGGGGCTTTTTGCCTCGCATTCAGCCTTCCCACCATTTCTTCCTCAACCTCTGCCCAATCTCCTACGATATCCTCAATGCTTTCTGTGTTCCACTGGTTCTCTCTTCTGTAGGAACATGGGTTGAGCCCTTAGCGGAGACCTGTTGTCTTTCTTATCCATCATCCCCTCAAATCACTTATTTTTTCCTGGTTTCTCAACCCTTTCCTCCAGTCAGAGAGCTTCAGCAAGGGCTAGGCTACTTTCCACTCTTTCTCGTGAAATCATAGTTTTGTAACGACATCCTTGTTGTCTGTGGTTACTCTAACTCTGCCAGCTGTCTTTTCACCGCTCCCCGTTTTACTGGGACCCCTTTCTTGATCTCTTATGTTCTACTTTGAGCTCATTTTATAAGACCCCATATTCTTTTTATTTTCACTGAGTGTAGAAAAGTTTTCTGAAAAAAAATTTTTTTCTTCTATTTCTTATAGTACTCTTTCTCCTAAAGTATAACCTTGTCTTTGGTCTATTTTATCCCCCCTCCCTCCATTCACTCAGTAACCTATACTGTAGTTCCACACTGGGCCCCTTCTGATCACCCCTCTCCTCTACGGGAACAGCTTCACCTAAGCGTGCCTTTCTCACGAGCCGGGCTGGGAGCGCCTCTCCCCTTAGCTTTCTCCCGCTGGAGGTAGCCTTTTCGAGAAGCCAGGGTCGGGCTGGAACCCGCTGGCTCGCAGCGAAGGCCACGGCTCTCAGGTCTGTTATCTGGGCCGAGGGAGCTGCAAAACGGCTGCCAGGTTATTTCCCTCCTTACTGTCCCCTGGCCCACCACCCCGACGAGGGAGCCTGGGACAGAGGAAACCACGGGCCTTTCAGAGGGGAGTTCTCGCTCCGCAGCCTGCCCGTCTATGGGCTGGATGCGGGTTCCTCCAGGAATGTCCCTGCTTTTCCCGTGGCTTCACCACATCCCCAGTTCAGAAAGTTTTCAAGCAAAGGCCAGAACCTCAGGCCCACTCACGGCACCCTGCTCTCTCTCTGTCACCCAGGGTGGCTTCAGGGAGGACGGGGGTCTTGTGACCTGTTCTCCTTTATCCTGGGCCTCAGCCCAGGGCCTTCATCCATCACTGAACCAACGACTGACTGTCAACTATTCTTAGAGGCAGCTGTCCCCTAATTTTGTTACAGATGGAGATTCCTTCCCTTTTAATTCTTTTCGGCAGATTTAAGGGAGGGAAGTACCGTAAACAAGCTTCCCCATCCCCGTCTTTGCCCAGGAGGCACATTTTAACTTTAAGAAGGAAAGTCCTCCCGGACCGATTCCCCTGCTATGCTGCGATCGCCGTAGGAGGCAGCAGGATGGCCCAGGACTGGTGGACCATGGAGGGAGGCGGTCCTGGGGAGCAGGTGAGTGGGCGAGGCTAAGGGTGACATACAGAGTCCAGCTCCCCCAGCCCTGGCCTTGCCCCTGCCAGACCTCCCGAGGCCCCGGGGCTGCCTCACACAGGTCAGACACTGCACAACTCCAAGGGGACGCAGTTCATAAAGGTGATGGCGTGACTGGCATCCCTGGCAGGTAGGCATCGCCCAATCTGCACAGCCACCTGGGGTGGGCCGGAGGGGCCTGTGTGTTCCGCCTCCCTGAGATGCTGACGGGGACAGGGACACAGGCGGGGGGCAGATCAGGCAGGTCCCCGTCAGAGTGGGGCTTTATCTTGAGGACCATTGGGAGCCACTGAGGCCTTTTAGGCAGGAGAGAGCTATGCTTTCAAACGAATAAAGACTCAAATGTTAGCCTAAGTAAACATTAGCCAGAATCAAAAGGCCTGGTGCCCAGGCCGACCCTGGCCCTCCAGCGTGCCCCTGGCCCTGGGGAGAAGAGCCTGGCCGTCCTCACCAGCTCCCCGTTCATCCGGAGGGCATCTGCCAGCTCCAGCAAGATGGATGCCCGCTCACTGGGCCCCACAGAAGGCCCGCGGACCTTCTTGCCTTCTTCCGCCTTCAGGGTTGGTAACTTGATGATCATTTTCAGGGTCTTGATGGCTTCTGGATAGTCCCCGGACTTGTTGAGGGCCCTGGCCTTGATGAAGTGGTAGAGGGGGTGGTCTCGGACCTAGAGGAGCCGAGCGGAGGGTGGGGCTCCATCACCGCTGCTGCTCATGGCACCCTGAGCCCACTAGGCCCTCCCCTGCCTGCAGGCCGGCGGAGGGGCAGAGGATGCAGGGAGCTCCCGGGGCTCCTCTCCCAAGGCCCGTGGGGACCGCAGCCAGCGGGGCTTGGGGATGCTGAGCAGGTGACAAGGAGCAGAGGAGCCCCACCTGGAAGTTGTGGCTGACGCCCAGCTCCAAGCAGTGGGAGCACATGGCAAAGTTGCCCTGCGCCAGGTAGATCTGGGCCTTGAGGAGGTGGGCGTGCACGGAGGCGGGGTCCAGCTCCAAGCAGCGCTGCACGGTGCTCTGGGCATTCTCCAATTCCCCTAGAAATAACCAACAGACCCCTGCGTCCAGGGAGCCGGAGGGCCTCGGGGGACCCAGTGCGCCAAGGCGGGGTGAGCTTTACGTGTCCTGCTACCCAGGAGCACCCAAGGTTGGCATTTTACCCAGCTCTGTTCCGCCTCACTCAGAGGGCTCCTCCTAGAATGAGAACGACACAGTTTTTGTGAAACTCAAACCTCAGTGTCACACCTCCCTCCTCCCTGTCACTGCACTGCTCCACCTGGAAGCTCCGGGGAACACCTAAGTCCTGGTGCCACACCTAAGAGCAGGATGAAACCCAATAATAACGGCAACTGTACTTGCCACAGCTTACCAAGCACCTGCTCGATGCCCAACCCACGCAGAGCACTTCAGAAAGGCTGGCTTAGTATTTGCCCAGCCCTGCAAGGTTGGTATCGTTCTCCTTGGTTCTTAGCTGGAAGACTGGGACAGAGCCAGCAAGTAAACCTGGGCCCTCAGTGCCTGAGGCTGAGCTGTGGATGCCCTGGCGCTGTGGGGCTGAGAGCCTCCCTGCGGCCAGGCTGGCCCTTCGCGGGGGCAGTGGCATCCCAGGGGTGGGGTGCAGTGAGCTGGGAGGGGAGCCAGGTCCCTCAACAGCTCCTGCTCCAGGAAAAACAAGCATTGAAAACACAAGCTCGGGGGTCACCAGAGGCTGGGAGCAAAACAGGCCATGGGCCAGCCAGGCCCCCCAGCAGCCAGGGCCCTCCACCGCATGACCTGGTGGGTGGGGCACACCTGCTCCTGGGTCCCCTACGCCCTGCTCCTTCCCTGCGAGCTGCAGAAATGTCAAGATGTCTCCATGGCAACACCACCAGCTGGAGGCCTTGCTTGGGCCCAGGGGGAGTGCGCCTTCCCTCACCTGGTGCCCAGGAGACCTTTAAGCTGTGGGTAAACCTGGTACCCAGATGAACACTGGGAGGGCCGAGGATGCAGACAGGGGAGCCCTCGGCAGAGAGCCACCCACCCAATGCAGCGCCAGAGGACAGACAGGCGCATGGCATTCGGGATGCTTGGGAAGCCCCGAGACAACGGACGTCAGCTTGGCTCTCAGGCCGAGGGGTGAAAGGCCGCAGGGAGAGAGAGGGAGGGAGAGAGAGGGCGAGAGGGCACCCAAAAGGGTTGTTCCTTCTTCCCCTCTCTCTCTAGGATCTGGGCCTTGAGATGGGAGAAGGAAGCCACTCTGGCCACCCTGAGGCTCTGAAAGACGAATGGAACAGGTGTCCCCTCCCCATGAGGCCTTCCTGACCTCCTGATAAAACCATAACCCTACCCCCTCCCTTCCTGCTGTAGTTTTCTCCTAATAAAACAATACAGTGTGCAAACTCCAGGCGGGAATTTCTGCCTATCTGACTGCGAGGGTATCCTGGTGTCAGAGCAGAGCCTACACACAATGCAATTCAGTGACTACTGCCCCAGAGGCCGCGCAATCAGCAAAGGCCTGGGTGGGAGAGACCCCTGCTGGTGAGGGAGGTCAGGAAGGTTTCAGGGGATCCGAGGCTGGAAGGCATGACGGGGCAGGCCTGGTGAGTGTGTGTGTGTATGAGTGTGTGTATGAGTGTGTGTATGTGTGTGTGTATGTGTGTGAGTGTGTGTGTGTGTGTGTGTTTGTGTGTGTGTGCAAAGCATCCCAGGCAGGGAGCCCATGGACACTCACCCAGGGGCAGAAGTCCCACCAGGTGTCTGAACAGATGCGGGAGGACGCAAGTCCCCACCTGGCCACCAGGACCACGGGCTCACCTGAGAGATACTTGACCTGAGCCATCACATACAAGGGGCCAATCAGAGCTGGTGCTGCCTTCACGACAGGAGTCAAGATCATCGCGACTTGCTTAAGAAGTGGAGACACGATCTGGCCTGGCGACCGGGGCTGCGGGAACGGGGGCCTGGCTGTGAGGTTGCCCCATCCTGGGCGACCCCTGGAGCCTCAGAAAAAGCTCTCCCAGGAGGGAGCGGGACTCCACACAGGTTTACTGCCCGCTCGGTACACCTGGTGCCCAGCAGGCGCTCCCGGGACAGGGACTCTGTTTCGTCCATATTATGCCCCGAGTGCCTAGCGTGGTGCCGGGCACGGGGCAGAGCACTCAGTAAACAGTGTGGGGATGACTCAGACCAGGCATGAGGGCTACTAGGCATGTCAGATCTGATCCCTGCCCACAGGAATCTCAACTGGCTGGGAAAGCAGGACGGACAAGTCAAGACGAACATACTTCTTCGAAGCCTTCTGGGAAAAGGGAGCGCAGTTCCTCTCTAGGATAAAGGCCGGGGCACGAGCCAGGGGCCTGCTCCTCCAGGTGAGGTTCCTGGACCAGCAGCACTGACATTACCTGGGGGCTTGTTCCAGATGCGGGGCTCCTATCACCGAGTCAATCCCTGCACCGGAATGACCCCGGGTGATCTGCGTGCTGCACGTGCGAGTCTGAAAAGCACTGGGCTCCCCCCCACCCTCCCCCAGACCTGGGGCTCGCGGCAGCCAGGGACTGGCCAGGGGAGGCCCCTGCCGCTGTCCGAACCTGTACTCCAGGCCCCCGCCATGAAGGTGCGCCCACGGCTAACCTGCTTGGGGCAGAAGAACAGGTACTCCCTGACGATGCAGACCAGGAAGAGGGGGTCCAGCTTTTCGAAGTACTCGGGGCCCAGGGGGAGGCCCTGCATGTAGGAGAAGTGCAGCTCGGCCGCCTCCTGCAGCAGCGCCGTCACCTCCTGCTCCCCCTTGTGCCTCTTGGAGGCCAGAAGGGCTTGGAGGAAAACCAGCACCTGTGGAGGCAGGCCCGGGGCTCGGAACCAACGCCAGCCGGCAGAGTTGGTCGATGGGGGTGAAGCAGAGGTCCAGGCCATCTTGGCTACTCTCTCCATTGGGGTGGAGGACTTTGGGGAGGGGGGACACACTCCTGGAGCAACCAACCCATGCCCTCAGGGAGCTCTGACCTCTGACTTCCCCAGGGACTGCTGCACCTCCTTCAGGAATTCCAGCTGGTGCTCGGCCTCCTCCAGGTGGCCCTCTAGGATCTGGCCCCAGATGATCCCTGGGAATGGAACAGAACATGGATCAGCAGCCAGCTCCCCAGCACGGCCAGCAGGCCAGCAGGCCAAGGAGCGTGGTGGGACCGCGGCAGGAAGGATCTCAGGGTGGGGGACCTTTTCCAACATCTTCATAAACTTAAAGTGATACCTGCTCATGGGAAACAATTCAGATCTTAAGGCAGAGGAGAAAAGCAGCCCGAGTTCATGCTCTGGCTTTAACCGTGCCTCCCTCCAGAGGTAACTTCAGGTTATTAACGCATACACAGCTTTTCCTAGTAGTTCATACACATCTACCCCATTCTCTTTCATGAAGATGTGATATTGCACAGTGGTTGGAACTGTTGCCCCACTGACGGACGCCTCATCGCACACTTGGTTTGTGTTCAATGACTAACCATCGCTGGGCTGTGGTGAGCATTTGTGTGCGTTCCAATCCCTGAGGCAGAGGCGATGGGTCAGAGAACATGCGTATCTAAAACACCGAGCGATAAGGCCAACTTGTCCTCCACTGATATTTGAATTCATGTTACTGCCAAGAATTTGAAAGTATCCTTTCCTTTTCACCTCGCACACACACACTTTACTCTTTGCCAGTCTAAAAAGTGAATTCTAACTTGTTTTAATTCACATGTTTTTGATTATTAGGAAGAATGAACGACTTTTCATATATTTAATGGCCTCTTCTTTTCTACTATGAATTTTTTGTTCAGAGCTTTTTCCTGTTTCTCTTTTGGGGTGATTTCCCCCCCTCTATATAGTATTAACTCTCTGCAGCTAACATTTCCTATTAGTTTGCCATTTACCTTGTAACTATTTTTAGTGTCTCTTGCCATCCACGAGTTTTAAATGTTTACACAGTCAAATCAGTAAAATATTTTCTTTACAGTTTCTGAGTGTGTGGTCATGCTTAGAATCCCCAGTGAACCCAAGTCCAATTTAATATTTATGTTTAAATACTTAATTCATTTGGAACTTATTATTGCATATGGTGTGAGGTGGAGAGTTACCTTTAGTTTTTTCTCTTACTGGATAGCCAATTATCCAACTACGATCATTGGACTTGGGTTTGGAGTCTATTGGTTTGAAGTGTCATCTTTATCCTAAGACCTGTTTCGATCCCATTTTATCTGTTTATTCCAGTACTGGCCTCAGGCTGGTTTAACTACTGTTGTTTTGTGATAGGTTTTGAATTTGGGAGGACAAATCCCTTCTGTTTCTACTATTCTTCTTTTGATGTTTTTTTGGCCATTTTGCTATATTGATTCCTGTCTTCCTAATCACCATCTTGGTTTTCAGTGATATCTGTCCTGCTCTTTGGCTCATCTATGGAATTTTTTACTTTGTAGCCTCTGGAGCCAGCTGACTCTGGAGGTGTTTCGTGGGGGAACGTCTTCTCTGTACCAGCCATGACCTTGCACGCACCCGCTCGGCCCCTCATTCAAACTGTCAGAAGATTTACACAAGGACGAGGCTCATTCGCACGAGCAGCTGGGCAGGTCCCCCGAGTTGTGAAGGTGACTGATTTTCTCAGCCCGGCCGGATACGATGGTGACGCCAGGATGCGTGTGAGCGGGCCTGCCCTGGGCTGGAGCCTGGGGGACTGTCCCGTGGACTTCCCTTCTGGCCCACCCGCGGGGCTCTCCTCTTAAATGAGGAAACAGGGAAGGAGTCAGCCTGATGGAGGAACATTGGAGGGGGTTTTGCCCATGTGCCCGGCAGCCACATCCTGTTGTCCTGCATGTCCCTGTGGTGGTGGGAAGCCACCTGCTTGGGGCAGAAGAACAGGTTTGTTTCTGCTTCCTCCTGAGCCTCCTGGTTCCGTCCCCGGTCGCCAGTGTTGCTTTGAATCCACTTTTGAGTGTTCCGGTGCCTCTCCTGTGTGAGTATTTCTATGCTTGTAGAGTCATGGAAAAGCGCCCTGTCATACAGTGCGCCCCCAAACTCACACACCCTCTGGGGACAGTGCTCCCCCACACCTCTCTTCTGGGCCCAGGAAGGCCACCCTGCTTGGCTGCCAACCCCTGCCCTCCCAGCGCCCACCCTCCCCAGCCTGCAAAGACCTGTCAAGGCGGCCACACTGTTCTCGTCCACTTTCATGGCCTCCGAGTACCACACGGATGCCTCTTTCACTTGGTCCTGCAGGATGAAGAGGTAGCCCAGCTCTATGGCCAGGTGGGTGTAGGTGGGTGCGGCCAGAAAGGTACGTTCGATGAAGCTGCACACCAGCTGTAGAATCATCTGGTGCCTCCCACACTGCAAGGAAGGGACACACAGGGATGGGGAGAGCAGTCAGCGCAGTGGGTCTGAACAAGGCCACATCAGAACTGGAGGGCATTTTAACAGGCCTTGGAGGGGGGCTCAGGAGAGTCTCAGAAGCACCCTATGTCCAGGCAGCTGGGTCTGTGTCGCTGATCAGCTCCCAAAGAACCTCCCACGGGCCACAGCTGCCTCCGGCCCTAGGGACCCATCCCCTGTCTGGCCGCAATAACTGGTCCAATGAATCACCGTGAGGTTTTTCAGAAATTGCAGCTGGGTGAGAGAGGTTCCTGTGCCCCGCTGATGGGAAGTGACCCCAAAGGCTGCGAGCAGCCACTTTCCCTGCCAATGTGCGGGGTCCACAGAGAGACTCGGCCCAGACGTGGAGGGAGAGATGGTCTCCCAGTGGCATTTGACCCCACGGTTCTGTCCCCTGAGGCCCGAGAGCCACCCCTGTTCTTACAGAAAGTCCTTCTAGTGAACCCTGCTTTGGGGTGGATGGGGCTGACAGAGGCCGACGGTTTGGCGGCCTGGCCTGTTCTCGCCTTGCCTGATGTCAGAGAGGCCTCCTAGACGGGCCGGCCTTCCCGGGTCGCTTCCGCAGAAGGAATATGGGAGTTGGGTGCCCGGTACCCTGAGGCCAGAGATGGGCATGGCTCTGCTGGGCAACAGCCATACTACCTACCACCCTCTTTCCTGAAAAGAGGTGCCACCCACTCTAAAAGTGCTGCCTGGCGGCATCTCCCTGATCTTCTTGGCATCTCTGAGGGGCACCTGGGCCCACATGACACAGGTGTTGGCCAGAGGCAGGTAGGGGCCAAGTTTGAACCAGAGAGAGGAGAGGTGGGGTACACAGGGAGCTCTCAGGGGGACCATAACCCCCCCACCCCCACCCCAAGGGACACAGGGAGAAGCAGTAGTTCAGAACCAGGAAAGCGCCTTCTTACCAGTCTGCTAACCACAATAATTTTTTTAAGATGGAGGCTTGGATTTTGGGGTTCTCTTGTCTCTAGCGCCTTAATCAGATTTCTAATGTGATCGGCAGCCTGCAGGGACAAAACAGACGACGTCAGGGGCGACGTGTCCAACAGGAGTTGGGCAGAGGTTCTCCACTCCAGCTGTGCGTCACCATCAGCTGGGGAACCTTACAAACACCCACCCCTGAGTGCCAGCCCCCGAGACCCAGATGTAACTGGACATGGGGGTCCAGGTGTTGGCATTGCTTCAGAGCCTCATAGGTGGAGCTTTCAGGAGCATTGTCCATCGAAGAGCTGGCACTGCCCCTTGGTGTGTGAAGAGAAGCTGCCCTTTCACACCCACCCAGGCAGAGCCTGGGGCCAGCTGTCACTGTGCCCACACTGCAGGGCATCAGGCCAGCAGCAGACTGCCTGGCAGGGAGGAGGGAGCCAAGATCCAGGGAGCACCCGCCAAAGCCTTGGGGTTGGAGGTGCTATGAGGGGTTCCTCCATGGCTATGTTTGTTTCAAGGCTCAACTTCTGAGTCCTGAAAGAACTTACCGTGGTCATGTTTCCTTCTCTTGCAAGCTCATGCACAGCTAGGATTTGGTAGGCATCGATATTTCTTTTATCTTTTTCTAGGATTCTGAAAGAGGAAGAGGAGCCACATGAATGGAGAGTATTCCTAGGCAAGGCGAGGATGGTGTAGCAGCGGCAACTTCTGGTTGTCTTCCACTCTCCATTCTCCCCTCTTTTAATACTAGAACTCCCAAACTGGTGGGGCACATGGCTACCCAGAACAAAAACTACACTTCCCAGCTTCCCTCTGCAGCTTAGGTGTGGCCATGTGATTGAGTTCTGGCCAATAGGATATACACTCAGGTGCCCAGTGTGATATCCAGCGGTGCCCTTACAGCATGCCTTCCAGTTCTTCCTTTTCCTCCTTCCTGCTGGCTGGCACGTGGACCATGTGAGCCACATCCCAGGGATGGCAGAGCAGCGAGACAGAAGGGGCTTGGGTATCCTATAGCCCTGAACCACCAGTCAAACTTTTTCCTAAGAGAGGAACAACCTTTTATGTTATTTAGGTCATGTATTTTGGGGTGTCTTTGTGAGAGAAGCCTATTCATATCCCAACACACACGGACATGACCATGGTACCAGGGTGTGGGGTGGGGCAGGAGGTGCACGCAGCTGCAAGTTGGAGAGGGGGCTTCGGTTTCCATCCTCTGCCGTCGTGAGGCTGTTTCTGGTCATATTACAGACTTTACAATATTCTGCTTCTTCATAGGAAACTTCATATTTTTTCAGTCTAGTCAGGGAATGGCCTTCTGTTTCATAGAGGGTTACTCTAATTAACATGTAGAATTCAACACCATTAGGCACAGTCCACATTCAAGGAGTTCTAACCATTTACAATGATTGGGAACCTCATACATTTGGAGGAAAAAACCACCACTTGTAAATGATTTACGGACTAAAGAATCAGAATGGATATCAGAAAGTTCTTAGAACCAAATGATAAAAAATATGTAGCTACTACTAAAATGGTACCTCAAGGGCCAGCCGTAGAATGAAATTGTTATATTCTAAAAGAAGATTGAGAATGGAGGAGCCAGACATTCAACCTAAGAGTTAGAAAAAACACACACAAAACGACAACAACAACAACAACAACAACAACAACAAAAACCCAACAGAATAACTCCAAAGGAAGCTGTTGGCAGGAAATAATAAAGAACAGAAATTAATAAATTAGAAAACAGACATAATAGCATCAACAAAACTCAAAGCTGGTTCTTTCATAAGACAGATAAAAACGATAAATTATTTTAACACTGCTGAAGAAAAATGAGAGAGGAGGGAAAAAAAAATAATATGAGGTATGACCAAAGCAACACATCCAGAAACAGCAGAGATTTAAAAGTGGGAGAATTCCATGAACACCCAGAGCTGGCAAAGCTTTGGGAAGGAAGGTGTCAAGGTGTGAGGTGCAACCCCCTGGCACCAGACTCTGCGTCCCTGTGTGTGTGTGTGTGGGGGGGGCAGCAGGACTTGGGCGAGGGTGGCCACGTGTACCCAGGGCTGTGACCTTTCCAGCCAGGTGTTTCTAGATAGCCGGTGGGCCCAGGTCTGAGGCTCCAGAGCAAGCTCCTGACCCAGCTCCTGCCAAGGACACTGGCCAGGTATCAGCAGAGAGAGGGACGCTGGGGGCCCACAGAGTCACTGCACCTGTGGGGCCCTGTAGGCTGAGCAGGGTGGGATCACTTTTTTAAAAAAATATATTTTTATTGATTTCAGAGAGGAAGAGAGAGGGAGAGAAAGAGAGATAGAAACATCAATGATGAGAAAGAATCATCCATCTGCTGCTTCCTGCACGCCCCACACTGGGGATCCAGCCTGCAACCTGTGCATGTGCCCTGACCGGGAATTGAACCATGACCTCCTGGTTCATAGGCCAATGCTCAACCACTGAGCCACGCCCCCGGTCGGATCACTTTCGATTTTCTACCAGCCCCGCTCTCTCTGAGACGCCAGTTCCACTCATCTCCAGAGGAATGACCATCTCTTCACAGGGAGGGAAGAGGTTTGTTTGTGTGTGTTTTTCTTCCCAACTGTGCTGTGCATCATCACAGAACTTATTAACAATCCATAGTGATGACTGGGGCATTTAGGGGGAAAAAATGGAAGATCCACAAACTCTTTTAAAAAAATTAGTATCATACATTTTAGCATTATTTGATAAAAACAGTTAAAGCCTTAGAGTTAAAAAGACAAGCTTCAGTTATCTAGAAAACACCATCCTCAAAAAAACACCTCCCATCAGACATCCCTCCCCTGAAACTGTCTTTAGCTCTCTTCACAGCTACCCTTGGCCTTGAGCTTCCACAGTCCCAGAAACTCCTGAAATCTCCGCTGTTTTGAGGACCTGCCCAGCTCTAGACTAAAAGTCTTCTCTCAGTCATCAGTGACCTTTTGCTCCTAACGATTTTTTTTTAAATTTTTTAACATTTAAGGAACCATATTCTTTTTTTCTTTGTTTTTTGAAACATAACTTTTTTCATTGATTTCACAGAGGAAGGGAGAGAGAGAGATAGAGAAACATCAATGATGAGAGAGAATCATGGATTGGCACACCCCTACTGGGGGTGGGGTAGGATCGAGCCTGCAACCCCTGCATGTGGCCCTGGCCCGAATCAAACCTGGGACCCTTTAGTCCGCACCGACTCTCTATCCACTGAGCCAAACCGGCGAGGGCACCCCTAAAGTTTTTATTAAGATAAATCATATCCATATTAAAAAAAATTAAATAGCACAGCGGTCCTTAGTCCCCTACCCCAACTCCTCAGCAGCGACTGCTTTCACCCTGTAACTCTTGCTGTTTTGGGTTCTATGGGCAGTTCCCTCCATCTTTCGTCTAAACGACATGCTCATACCTCGTGGGATGCCCTTTTCTGATTTTTCCCTGCAGGCCACAGGGCCGGCTTCCTGCCGTGGCAGGTAGGTGTCCCCCCTCTCCTCCCCCTCATGATGGGATGCTATCGGTACTCACAACTCCTCTGGTGACAATTTTTACTTTTGTCTTGTTCCACCAAATACACAGTATCTCCCACCTCCCCACCTTGCACGATGGGAGCATATTAGGGGCATGGTCGCCCCTCGCCCCTCGCCCCTCACCTGTGTCCTGTTTCTACCGTCTGCTCCCAGTCCTGCCGAGCCAAGAACAGCTTCATCTTGAGGATCCAGGCGGGCAGGAAGCTCTCGGAGACCACGGTGATCTGGTTCACCACCTCCAGGGCCCCCGAGTAGTTCTGCTGGGTCATGTGGTACATGGCCTGGAGGAGCCGAAGAGCCTCCGTCAGTGCCCACGCGGGTGGTGGAGATGCCAGTGTCTCCACCAGGTCCGGAGCAGAGGCGGACACCTGGGCACCCAGTGGCCAGTCCAGGTCCACCACCGTCCTGGGTTCCAGGAGGGGCAAGGCAGGGGCTTCAGGGAGAGAGCTGAGCCCTGAGCAGGCCTGGGCCTCTTGGAGGCCATGCAAGGCTGCCCCCTAGGGACAGAGCTGGGGTTGCGGCCACTTGCCAATTCTAGAACCGGCCCATTCACTTCCCATCGGCTTTCCTGAAGCTTGTCACTGAAGACTGCCCCCTGGGGCCCAGGACAGCAAATTGGTGTCAATGAGGGTTTGAGAGCAAACTCCTCTACAGCAAGGTTGTGGGGCTTTTTCTGTGTCACGGCCGCTGGGCTGGGCTGGGCTGGCCAGTGCCAGCCACCAGGTTCTCCTGGGTGCGTCTGACTCAGGGGTGCCTGCGGGGTAGAGGGCAATGCTCCTAAAAGACTTGAACCCGCACCCTGAAAAGGCTGAGAGGATGCTTATGTTGGACCTATAGCAACCTTCCACGGAGGGGACTATTCTAAATAAAAACGTACAAATAAACGTGTCACCGCAGCACTTTGTCCAAGTCTGCACCTGGAAACAACCTCAATATCCACACAGGAGAGCCGGCTGGCGAGTTACGACAGGCCCCATTCAATAGGGGACTGGCTCTGGGTGGCCGTTCCAAATGGCGTTTGCCGATTGCAGCTCACACGAGGGAAAGAGCCCAAATGATAACATGCCCCTCGATAGTGACTCTATTGGATAACCACACGACCCACCACCCTACGGTGGGGGCCCTGTGTGATCCCCTCAGGTCCAGGAGAGGTGGCAGCTGGTGGCTCTCAGGGGAGCCTCCCTCCTGGGATCGCCCTGGACCAGTGGTCAGCAAACTGCAGCTCACGAGCCACATGCGGCTCTTTGGCCCCTTGAGTGTGGCTCTTCCACAAAATACCATGTGCGGGCACGCACGTACAGTGCGATTGAAACTTCGTGGCCCACGCGCAGAAGTCGGTATTTTGTGGAAGAGCCACCCTCAAGGGGCCAAAGAGCCGCAGGTGGCTCTCGAGCCGCAGTTTGCCGACCACTGCCCTGGACTGAAGGGAGCTGCCTGCTGCCAGGTCATACCGTTCCCCGGGGGCGGCCCACACCCAGCATCTTGTCAGCGAGGGCGGCAGTGAAGGGCCATCCCAGCTCCACAAGTTCAAGCAGAGTGGGCCGAGACCTTCGCTATGTCGGCTGTACCACCCAGCCTCTCCCTCTGCCCAGCCCCACTTCTTTCTCCTTCCCCACAGGTGCTGGTCCCAAGGGTGCTCCCTGAGAAAGGCCCCGCATGATAATCTCCATGAAAAGCGGCCGCGGCACACCCCGAACCCACGCACAGAAGAAAGACGGGGGGCACTGCCCTGGAGAGCTGTCTTGGAGTGGGAGGGCTCAGGGTGTCATTTTCATTCATCTTTTGACTTTTTAGACTTCTGCTTTTTAATGAGTGCGCACACATTTCGTAAGAAAGATATATACAAACAGAAGAGAATAAAGGGGTAGTTTTTCTCTTAAGACTGATTTAGTGAGGGTCACATAAGGAACGAGGAACTTCATTTAAATCAAGGTCAGAAAATACAAAAACGCAAAGCATACCTCCCCCTTCACTGATGGCCAACCAACTGAACTGAACAGGTGGGAAGAGAAAAGGTGACATGAGGAGTATGCGAGAGAGATGTGGAGAAAGGGGGCAGTGAGCGACACCAAAGGCAAACAAAGCCTGGAAACGCTAAGGCAGGACAGACCCTGAGGCGGAGACCCTGAAGACGCAGAACGAGACAGGAGCCCAGACGGAGCAGGAAGGAGCTGGGAACTGGGCTGGCTCCTGGGCTGCTGTGTGACCCTGACCCCATCTGCTCCCCGTCCTGGAGACGGAGGGTCGCGGCTGAGGTCGCCTGGTGGGTCTCCGGCTCCAAAGGCCCGGTCAGGGCTACCCCCCTCCCCTGCTCCCCACGGCCCACCTTTCCCAAAAGCCCCAGCACATCTTTGTTGTCCTGAACTCCTTGTTCCAGGTACTTGATGGCTTTCTTCGCCGTGTGGGGCTTGTCTGAGGTGAGGTCCACCAAGCCTTTCAGCACATAGCCCTGGGGTAAGGACAAGAGGAAAGATGAGCTCTCTGGTCCTGCTGAGCCTGGAGCAGCCCGCGTCTCCTGCCTCACATCCCACCAGGTGTCACCTCACACCTGCGGCCCTGCCAGGCACAGCTGCATGCAGATCCCGGGGCAGGCCTGCTCGCTCTCACCGCCAGGCCTTGCTTTGTCCCTCGTGTCCCTTTGCCTGCAACGCCCTGCTCAGCACCCGTCCCCCAAACCAAAGTATTTCCCCTGATTAACGACCACTAGTCTTTAAAACTCAGTCTAGGCGGCCTTCCTTGACCTTCCGGGCTGGGGTTGGGCCCTCCCCAGGACCCCTGAGCTCTCCAGGACCCCCCAGCTCTCTCGCTGAGGCACTCTCACCTGCTTAATTTACACTGCGCTCCGGAGGCCAACATGGGGCCGCTCCTGCTCTCTGCACGTGAGCTGGGCAGGTCCCCTGAGCAGGCGAGCAGGAGCCATTCTGAGCTCCCCGGCCTTGCCGGCCCCCCTCCAGCCTTCACCCAGCCTCTCCTGGCCGATGGGGCAGGCAGGGAGGGTGGGGGGCTCAGAGGAGCCCTAGGCAGGGCGCCCGCCCTGGAGTATCCCTCGTGGCCCAGACCAGTGTTTCTCCACTCTTCCATTACTGCCCTCCTGAGGAGCCCTTTTAGACATTTTCTCCCAATCATTCCCTCCCCCTCCAGGAAAATTTAATATCACACATAGACTGTGATACGTGTTGTACGTATATCTGCGCTTTCCTCCCAGAGCCAGTGTTCAGCCTGTTGGGGGTGATATCTCCGCTGCTGAGAATGCATGGCCCCGGCTGAGGCTGCAAGTTCCGCCCTCAGGGCGGCTCTGTGCCTGGGAGGTCTCTGGTGTCTGAGCGCCCCCTGCTACCCAGCAGGTCACCGGAGGAGGACGCGCAGGCCCAGTGCAGCTGGCTCATCTACTTAAACCAACAAACAAACACGACATCTGGACTTTTAGCTAAAAATCTTCTGATTTTTAAATGTCAGCGATGAATTCAAGATTTTTAGGATATATAGTGCAGGCCCCGGGGCGCCTACCCGCAGAGGGGACTCTGGAGGAACGTCAGTTTGTACCGGACTAAGCCCCGAGACAACCTGGGTGGGGTCACTTCGAGACCCTGGGTCTTGGCAGTGCCGGCCGGGCTGGGGCCTCCCCCCATCCCCGTGGCCGTCCGTCCGTCTGTGGGAGTAATGGCCGCTCTACTCTGATGTGATGGGGCGCTGCTTTCTCGGGCCGTCACCCTGGTGATGCCCGTGGCGAGTACCTCTCTGGCGCCGTTGGACAGCTGTAGCATGCGGTCGACGTACTCCTTGGCCTTGTCATGGCGGCCCATGAGCCAGAGGAAGAGGCCGGCGTAGTAGAGGGCAATCCAGCTGGCCGTCTTGCGGATTTCCTTCAGGCTGCTCTCCAGCTCCTGAATCGCTTCTTGGTCTGTGAAGACGAGAGAGGAGTGCGGGCCAGGAGGTGTGCCTGGTCCCACAACACATGGAGCCAATGACACGCCAGCCCGGGGCCTGGAAACAAGGCACCCTGGCCCCGTGGTGCCCCGGGAGCTGCCCGGGCCTGGACCTGGGCTTGCTGTCTCTTCTCCTCGGTGCCCAGGGTGGATAAATAAAAATATGCTGAGCAGTCAGGCCAAACCCGAATCCCTCACCTCAGGTGCACAAGTCATTCTGGGTGGGGAAATAGTAGTCTGTGGTCTCTTGGAACCTCTCTAGGGAAGTGGAGATGAGTAATAGAATTATTTATATCAGCGTGATTTTTCCTGACAACATCTTGGTGAAGGAAAGCAAGGTGTCTCCCCAACGCTTGGGGTCTGGAGGGAGGACCCCTCCCACTGTTATGCTCTCTGCCTATGGCTCCCCCTCAATGGGGCCTGGGCACGGGGTCTTCTTTGAGGCCTTGCAGGGAAGGGGAACAGCAGCCACTCCTCATAGGCCACCAGGTCACATACGTCCTTCTGCAGCCCTGGAGGGGCTGGCTCCCGGAGCGGGGCTATCTTTCCCTGGTGGGGCCAGGCCCCGCTGGGCAGAGCTGCACTCACCGATGGTTTTACAGCACCTGTGAGCATAAATGAGGGCCATGATGGAGCACAGGGACACGTCTGGGTGATTCCGGAGGCTCTCCAGGCTGCTGATGGCATCCTGGATGTGCTCTGCCAAGTGAGACCGCGTGGTTATGCTTTGGGCTCCAGGCCCAGAGGGCAGAAGGCTCCATGGCAAGTACATGGGGATCCTCATTAGGGCTGACCCGAGGCTTGGCACCACCTGGCTTTACCCAGGATCAGAGGACTAACTGGTACAAAATGTCCCCAGTGGCCTGAGGTCCCTGAAGACTGACGCTCCTTGCAAAGGCTGCTGGCACCATGGTTCAGGCTGCCAGGGGCCGGAGGGCTTGGAGCTAAGGATGTACCCGTGAGTACACAAGGGATACCTGGGAGGTTGAGATTTTTGGCTTGGGACGGTTCTGGAAAAAGAACCTCAGGGCATTTCTAGTTAGTTGCACAAGAGCCAACAATTACATTTATCCCTCCATGTCCACTGACGTTGGCCATGGGCAGCTCAGCCTGTCCCTAGCCCAGGGTCCTTCTGAATGTCTGAGTCAGCACCTGTATGGGCCCCACTCCTCCCCTGTGCCGCGCCAGCACGGCCAAGGGTGACCCTCAGTGGGTGCGGTGAAGGATTTAGAAAAGACAGACAAGAGAATGAAAATCGGGGTCTCAGTGGGACCCTGCTTCTTTGATGGAGAGACAGCGCCACGGACTACACGCCGTGTCTTTATTTTATAGCAGATTCCATGAGGCAAATGAAGGGCGTGGTCAAGATGTTTACAACATTCTCCTGGGTTTCGATCCTACTCAAGTACAGGCACCTGAACTCTATCAAGCCCACATCACTCAGGCACGTGGGGCCACATGTTCGGACCATAGGTTCACGCTCACAACCACAGCTGTTGGCTATCATTGTGCTGGGAGCGCTCTGCCCTCCAAGCCGGGACTTGCATGTGGCCATGAGAGGACTGTGCCCTCTCATTAGTCCGAGGCTTGAACCTGTCCAAACACGGTAGCCGCTCTCCACACTCCCCCTGCCCCTGTACCATACCTGCTGGTACCCACACCCACCGCTTCCTCCTTTTCCCGCACTATCAGCTCTCAGCTTCCAATAATCATGCAGTCATTTCTCCACCCACTCATTGTGCAGATAGGGAAACCGAGGTGCAGAGCAGCAGTGGTGAGCCCTCTAAGGTCTCAAAGTCGACTACATATGGATGGCACAGGCTTCTGCGGCCGAGCCTGGGGATGACTGGGGGTAGGAGTGGGCGTCTGGGTGGAGTCAGTGTTCCTGCTGGGCTAGTGCCCAGGTCAGGAGGCCACCAATGACGAGTCCTTACCTTCCCTGAAGGCCCCATAGGCTTTAAAGAACTGCAGCACAGGGTCATTGCTGAATTTTTCCAGGCCCGTGGCCGCGGCCTGCTGCACGTGGTGGAAGTACTTTTCCTGGCTGTAGTAAATGATCCCAGCCTGCGGGAGGGGAGACACCCACTGCAATAGCCCTTCTCTGCCTCTGTTCTGACCTCTCCCTCCCCGGTTCCCTGCTCCTCCTCAGTTCCGTGAAGGAAAGAGAAAGAGAAAGAGAAGTTTCTGGCCTCATCCTGTTCACCAGGCCCAGGAGCAACTCCATGCAGTTTCCCCAGGAAGGAGCCTGGAGGTGTTTGTTGTGGAATTAGCCACAGATTCTGGTTCAAAGGTGGAAAATTCAACTCGAGCTGTCTTAGGAAGAGGCTCAGAGTGGGAAGAGAGGGAACCAATAATAAGAATAATTGCATCAGGAGTTAGTTACAACTTATTGTGGGCCGACCCCCTCTGGAAAGTGTACCCAGGGCTTTATGTCCATTATCTTCTGCATTACTCTCTTCACAGCCTTCCCAGTTAAGAAAGCTGAAGGCCATGGCGACTGTGGCTTGGCAGAAGCCACACAGTAACAGGGGCTGAGATTGTAAAGCGAGTCTCACTTCCCCTAAGGTTTCTGGGTGCTGGGGTTGGAGACAGATGTGGTTGGATTGTAACAGCCTTGTGGGCCATATGAAAGGGCCCAGACATCATCCTGAGGATACTAGGACGCAGTGGGGATGGTTTTAAGCAGGGGAGAGGGATGTATTCAGATATGCGTTTTTGCAAAAACCACCCTGGTAGTTGTGTGTGTGTGTGTGTGTGTGGGGGGGGGGGCGGGGTAGGGGGGATGGCTGGTGAAGAGAGCTGAAGCAGAGAAACCAGTTGGGTGGGGGACTGTTACAGGTGCCCAGGGGGAAGGTGGTGGTGACCCAGGGCTTGGAGGTAAAAGTGGGTGATTTCAGGAGACATTTAGGAGCGGACGTTTCTTGCTGATAGACAGGATCAGGGGATGGGTATGAGGAAGAGTTAAAGCTGGGGGATCAAATGGTGGTGCCATCAACTGAGGTCGGGGACATCTCAGAAGAGGCACCGGCAGGGAAAGGGGAGCTGATGGCAGGATGATGGACGGGTGGGGTGCGTTGGTTTGGAGGAGCTTGGGGAGGGGACTGGGTGGGGATGCTGATTTGGGGTTCATGGTGCACAGAAAGCACCAGAGGGGATGCCCTCGTCAGGGAGAGTGAAGCGAGAAGGGTCAGGACCCCCAGTAGCAGCGGAAGACAGCCAAGTGCGGGTCAAGGGGATGGCAGGAGCAGGTCCAGAGAGGGCAGGAGAGCGGCAGGGCCCGGGGGTCACCGGGTTAGGGGCGGAGAGTCCCAAAGGGAGCGCCCGGGCCACGCACCATCAGGGAGGAGTCATTGCTGTTCATCTCTGGACGCCAAGGGCTCGGAGTCCGGGTCTGGCGGGGCGGAGCGGGGCCGGATGCGGGAATCGGGGTCCAGGGCACGCCTCTAACCGCCGGCCGCCGCGCGCGCGTCCTTGGAGACGGAGATGCTGGCCGGTTGCTAAGAGCGTCAGAATCCGGGGTGGGCGTGGCAAAGCGTCCACGTGACTAGGCGCTGGTAATTGAGCGCCGAGAGGGCGAGTCGGCGCTGGTGGCACCGGGTCGCGCTGCGTTCGGGGACGCTGGCGCCGGGGCCGGGCCGCTGCCATGGGCCTGGGCTCCAGCACCGAGCAGCCCGCGGAGACCTCCGAGGGCTTCCACCTGCACGGGGTGAGTCGCTCCCGCGGCGCCGGCGACCGGGGCCGGGCGTCCACACCGACGCGCCGGGACGCCTCGGCGCCGGCCCCAGGGCGGCGGAGGCAGGGACCGGCCCTAGTGCGGCTGCCCGGGTGGAGGGTGAGGCCCCCTGGGCGAGGGGAACGGCCCGCGAGAGGCGGCCCGCGGCAGTCCCGGCCCCGGCCAGTCCGCGGCAGCTGTCGGCCCGGCGCCCGCCCCAGTGCCAGCTGTGCAGGAAGCGGGAGCGTTTCCTGGTCGGGTCGGGCCCCAGCAATAGCCCTTCTCCCGGGCGAGTATTGCACCAGCCCCAGGCGGGACGCATTTGTGCACGGAGGTCGCCTGCGTGATCGCCTGCTGTGCAGTGTGTGCCGCGCTCCGTGCTGGGCCTGGGACGCGCGGTCCCCGCTCTGGGTCCGCGGGTCGGGAAAACCAAGTGGACGCCAGCTGCGGGGGGCTGGTGGGCGCACACGCCGCCCGTCCTGGGGCCGGGAAGGCTTCTGGGGCTCGAGGACCAGCGCTCACCAGCCGGGGAGAGCGGGAGCGGGAGAGCCCGCAGCCGACGCAGGGACAGCGTTTGCAGCAGGGGAGGCTCCCGGGGTGAAAGATCGCGGCGGGTCGCGAGGGTTCCGTGGCCCGATAGGGATCTGGGGGTCGAGATTTGTACTGTAGAGAAGGAGGGGTTGTAACGGAGGTGAGCAGACCAGGGGGGCCTCCGACCCACTGGGGAAGGACCCCGCTTCCCTTGTGTAGCGTGGATGGCTGCAGAGACCGGTGCAAGCTTGTCAGTTCGGTGCCTGGCTGTTGCCTGGTCTCTGTGTTGTGATGGTAGGCTCTGTGGGTGGGGGGCTGGACGTGATGGTAACCCCCAAGGGAAAGCCAGACAGAGGGTCATGCTTGCTGCGGGGGGTCCCGGAGGCGGGGGGAGGTTCGGGGGTGTAGTGGGCAGCAGCACAGATAATTTCCTCTGTAGAGCCATAGTGGTCAATGACAAGGCCCAGGGCCAGGGCAGTAAGTACCACCAGACCAATCACAAGGCTACAGGAAAGGGTAGGTGGAGGCTCTGGGTGGCTGGGGGGGGATTGGGCCTGGAGACTGGGGGCCTGAGCCTCTGGACCTCTTTAATAGTGGAGGGCAGCAGTAGTGGGCAGGTGCCAGGAGCCGGGAATTACCAGAGGGAGGTGGGGTGGCTTAGAGTGGCCCCCGAACATGGAGGAGCGCCTCTTCCAAGCTCTCTCTGATGAACTGTCCTTTGGTTTTCAAAAGCCTCGTAGTCCCAGCTTTCCCCTGGGGCTCTAGTAGATCCTCTCATTGGAAGCCACGGCAGCTTCTGGAGGTGGCACACAGGGGCTCCGTTGGTGACGCTGCCACGAAGGAGGCCAGGGGTGGACTGGCTTTGATCCGAAGGCTCAGCAGTGAGCTGTCCTTCAGTTTGGGGGATCCACGACTGGAGGGGCTGGTGGGTGGCAGAAGCCACAGGGTCTTCCCCTGGCAGATGTGAGCAGAACCAGAGGCCACAGGAACCCCAAGCCCTCTGGGCTGGGGGCCTGGCAGATGCCTGGTCATCAGGGCCTCAAGCGATGACACCCAAAGGCCTGAGGGGTGGAGCCCACCTTCAGGGCTGGGACCTGAAGGGAGATAAAGGCCGCATTGTTGGGGCAAGGCTCTGTAAATGGGGCCTTGGAGAGGGATTTCTGCTGCAGCTGCAGCCCTGGTTGCTGTGCTTTTGGAGATGGGAGGAGTTGGGAGTCCAGTGCCGGGGGTGGGGTGGGAGGGCACCCTTGGGCCAGGAGTGACTCCTATGCCCTGCATGGGAGCGGAGGCTGAACTGTGAGGCACGGCCTTGGCACTGCTCACCAGGCTCCGTGGCTCAGGCTCCTTCCTGCCCCTGCGGTCTGCTCTCCTCAGCAGCTCCCATCACCTGCTGGGCTGACCTGGGATCTGTCACCACAGGGTCTGGGGCCCTCTGGGATCTGGTCACAGGCTGCCTTCCCCGCTGCCTCTTTCTGGCCACAGCCCTGGTTCTATCTCTCATGGGGCCCTGCCCACTTCGGTACGAAGGGCCCTCCCTTTCTGTCCACATCTTAACCGTTCTGGGAAACCCTCCTGGCGTTCCCTGTAGGCCTGCGCCACCCTGTTCCATGGGGCCTCCTGGTAGCCCCCAGACTGCCCAGGGCTGTCCTACGAGGCATCCCTGGAAGCATGATCTGTGGATCATGGTCAGGGAAGAGCAGTTTTCCTAAAGAGGAAAAATGTGTGCCCGGGAAGGTGGTGGCAGAGGAGGGAGGTCACCTTAGCAGTGCCCACGTGTGGCCTGTCCGGAACGGTTCATGCCAGTGCCCGTTTCCTCGCTGGGACACGGGGAGTGGTGATGGTCTCTGACATTGAGGGCCGGGGCTTCTTGGAAGTCACGGGGCGGGCTCCGTGACCGGCCTCTGCCCTGGGACAGGTGCAGGACAACTCCCCAGCCCAGCAGGCGGGCCTGGAGCCCTACTTTGACTTCATCATCACCATCGGGCACTCAAGGCTGGTGAGCTTTGCTGTGTGTGTGTGTGTGTGTGTGTGTGTGTGTGTCCCGTATGCCCCAAAGGAGGCTCCAGCCCAGCTCCTGCCTCCCTTTTCTTCTCCCTGCCCAGCGCTCAGCTCCTGAGCTCTCTGGGATGGACTGGAGGTCAGTGGACTCTTGGAGCTGGCCACGGGGCCTAGGGGCCTGCCTCTTGGGGCATGAGAGATGTGGGCTCTGGGCCACGGGGCAGCTCAGAGCGGGACAGCCCGCAGTGCCCTGAACCCAGGAGGCTCCTTGATGAGTTTGTTGTGCTTTCTGGTCAGAGGGGAGCTGAGGAGGCCCATTTAGCACTACTTGGGGGGGGGGGGGTGGCCCTGCCGGGGCAGCTG